ACGGTGAAATCGTTTGTGGTCCCAACAGCCGTTTGGTTGCGACCCACTGTGAGAAGATACAGGCAGTCCGCGACATCTAGGGAAGGTCAGCGGAAGGGGTTAAACATTTAATAGCAATTTGTTTAAAAAAAAATAGGGACCACTGTGTTCATCACCAGGTTATGGGAGAAAACCAGATGTCATCACTGTTAGCGTGGCTGCCACCACGCCAGACGTGTGAGTGATGCCATTGCCGTGCGGAGGACCGGGCTCTGGGGTGAGGAGGGCACGCTCGGTACGGTTGCTGATGAATTATACATATAAGATTCATCAGCTCTAAGCCCCCTCGTGTTTAAGTAACCATGCACAGCCCTAAAACCTCCAGCACTGAGTTGTGCATGCAAAGCCCTGTCCCCGCTCATGCCCCAGCACGTGGGAACATGCCCGATGGGATGTTTGCACGGAGACCTTTGGCTCCCGTCTATAGGAAGTTTCTCTAAGGACGTGGCCACGGCAGCAGGCGGGAGCATGGCTCCCCGTTCTCGGCCACCAAAGCACTCACTCAGCGGTGGAACAAATGGAGAGCAGCATCCCTCCGGAGAAGCAGCAAGGAATCAGCATTTCTCCGGAGAGCCACCGAAAGGCAGAGCCCCACCCGTCCCTTCCGCAGCCTGGAGCATCTTCATAAAAACACAAGGCCACGTTTGAACCTTTAACCCTCTGAGTTGTAAAGACTTCATCACTTGTTTTCTCCAAACCAGGCTTTCTGCAATTTCCCTCCATTAAACTCTTCAAGACAAGTGACCCCGGAGCCAAAAGGCATCAGACTAATGAAAGGTCTGGAGGAAGGGAGCACGTTCGTTATTAAAAACACAGATGAAACACAGGACTGAGCTGCCATCACAGCGTTGCAGGACAGCGAACAGGGCATGCCAGGTGCTGAGACGCGGCCGTGTTGCAGCTGGTGTGATACAGCCCAGGAGCTGCCCCTTGGCATGGGGACGTGACTGTATTAGAGCTCGAGCGCTGCAGGACCACTCGCAGGAGCTGCCAGCATGGAGGACGGTGCCACCATGGTCCCACAGCCCGGGAAACAGGTGCCTCCTCCTGCAGAGGGATGGCTGCATTTGACACCTACGCAATGGACAGCACATGTTCACCTCTAATGGCAGGTCTGACATTATAGGTCACCATCTGTACATCTGAACCACCAAAACTGCTGCATTACTGCTCCCTGGAGAAGCTACCAATGCTTGTCTCAGTCCAGAGGGACAAAGCAAAGAGGCTGCAAGACAAACAGCTCTGAAAGCACCTTTCTCATTATGTGAAAGCACCCAAGAACCTCAGGGAAGGTTCCTGGAGACAGGCCAATGTGATGCCCATGAGCACCAAACACAGCAACGTCCCTGCTCACCAACTGCAGGGGACCTGAACAGCCCCACCATTAGCTTCTTCACACCATCATGCTCCGCTCAGGAGGTATCATCTTGGTTTCCACGCACCCCAGGGTGCTCAGGAGCCCGAGCTTGCTGCCTGATCCCTGTTTGAGAAGTATTTTAAGTTCTAGTGCAGAAATAATAGATTGCTTTTTGGTTTTCACTGTATCTGTAAAACATTCCATAATTCGACATCAAATATTTATTATTACGTTTATTAAAGTTTTAATAATTTAGCATCTCCTGTATGTAAGATACAAGCGCCGTGAACTCACCTCCCTTACTCTACCTGGGTCACTCCAATATTTATACCTGGAATTCTCAGTTCAGGTTTCATTTATAAGGGGAGCAGGCAACAGTCTCCATGCCAGAAACTCCCCTCCTCCTAGCTGGCATTCATCCATCCCAACTGAGACTTTTCCGCGAGGATCAGTGCCCAGAGACAATTACTGCACTGGAGCAGAAAGCAAGCTTCCGAGCCTCTACTTTCACTAAGGTACTTTTAATGAAGATGTGAGGAGGCAAGAAAGAAATAATGTTCTCCTGGCATTTTGGCTCGGAAAACGTTAACGTACAACAAGGTGACCCTTCACCTTCTCAGATGAAAGGCAGTAGTCTTCTGCAGACAAGAAAAACAATGCTCCGAGGAGAGCCAAATTGTGATAGATTATGTACCATCAGTCTCTTTTCGTAGGAGAGGGAACAAGCACTAATTAGCAACAAAACCACACTTGGAAGTGAGGACCTCTTGGATGCCAGTCCTGGCTCTGCCGTAGGTTTTGTAGGCACTTGCTCCAAGCACAGCACTGCCAAGACTCATGATGATGGGACAGAAGAATGGAAATCCACCATCCTATTGCTCTGGGATAAGAAAAGACAGAAAGGGCTGGGAGATATCAGGATCCTACTAATGCCCAGGAACATGCTTCTCAACACGGACAAGAATTTGCAGGTCAGGAAATTGTGTCATGAGTCAACAGGAGAAGGCAGCAAGAAGGAAGGGAGGGATGGATCACGGAGCCTCCCTGACACCCAAAAATCAAATATTCAATCTTAATATAATGAGGGAGAGGGGAACACACACTAAATACCTTAGGAGTTAAACAGTTAAACCCTTGTAAACCAGGCACAGGAGGACAATCACCACCATTGCTCTCCTCCGAGGCAGAGGCTGCTGCTCCCTTTCCAGCTAGGGCACAGGACAACCATTCTACCTGGCTCCTTTTCCAAAGGACCTCCCTTTGCTCACCCTCAGCCCAGTCTCCCAGCAAACAGGCTCTCCTTCTACCAAAGCAATTCTCCTCCTGCAAAGCCCTCTTAGGTCCCACTTCTGACCTAGACTACCACAAGTCCAATGACATCTGCTTAAAATACCAGCTAGCCAAAATGGGGGAGCCAGAGAAATATCCAGGTGTTACTGAACTCAAGGAAGGAAAAAAACCACCTTTACTGGTCTAATACTTGGACAAGCAACATTGGCCTTTCAGCAGAGTCTGAACCTGGCCCTTCATGAGCACGATAGACTCTCAAGGGCTGTGTGGATGTGGTATACGTATGAGTTTCTGAAAGATGAAAGCACCTCCGTACAGGTAAATGCATCAGTTTAAGCTACGTAATCTGACATTAGATTTAAGTCACTTTAAAATCACCTTGGCACAGGTTCATACCAATTCACCCAACTGGAGTGGCAGACTTCAGAGCTATATACACAGGCCTGGCCTAGACCCATCAGGACCAAAAGAGGCTGGAGCCACTACCACATCAGATTTCTTATTGGAAGAAAATTAATCAAACTCATCGTCATAGAAATCACTGCATCCTCCATAACAATTTAAAGGCAGCGTAGTCACTCAAGCATGAGGAAAACGAGAAATCGGCTTCCTACCTTACATCTGCTGGATCTTCTGTCACCAGAACATCAGTCTTACAGCTGGCAAGAGGATTGATGGAAAGCTCCACCGGGGGCACCACAAAGCTCTTACTGACAGGCAGCCACAGACCTTGACCCAAACTATAGGTGGACCTGGAATGAGGACAAACGTGTCATACAGGAACAGTGTCCACAGCAAACGGTGGCCCTCTATTGCACCTGGCTGCCCGAAAGTCAGTGCAGTGGTGGCACCACGAGGTAACTTAGTCATTTGGTCTTGTCCTGAAAGCCAAATGAGAGGAATAGCTAGAGATGTGACAGGGAGAACATGGGGATGCTCAAGCTCTTCTTTTGAGTCCAGAGGGACTTTCTGTGCACACTGTCCTCGCTTTTACTGAGCAGTGTCGAGCCAAGGACACAAGAGGGAAATCCTGCCCTGTCTGCAGAACATGGACAAATCTTTCAGGTCTGTCAAAGGCAAATGACCCTCATGTTCCCCAGCCAGCACAAGATGACGGGCTGAGAGTGACCAAGAGGCAGCCTTTGCTGACACGTCCTCACCAGCTCTCCCCTGTCGAATGTCCAAGTTCAACACTCCTTTGACTCACCTGAGAATCTTCTCCGGTGCCT